AAAGAGTTTCATCATCCATCCAATACAATTAAACTTAGCCTACCATATTAATATGAAAATTACACAAAAAATAATTTGTAACGTGTATGTAATAGCCATTAGGGATAGAATTGAATTCACTCTCGAGAGGTTGTTCAAAGTGTTTACAAACCTATACGTCAACAGTGTGGGATACAATAACATTTTCATCGTCTCCCCAAAGTTTTTAATATTTATAGATAAAAGAAAGGCAAGATAATTTTGTAAACACTCCTAGTAGCTTACGTAGGCCAAGGGTGGAAAACTCAGAACAACATAAGCTTAAAAAGGGAGCCGAGTTATCAGGGACGGAGTTAGGATAAAAGAATTGTGTGCACAATTTTCACAAAATTTTAATCGTAGAGGCAAAAATTTTAATCAATGGCCAGAATTTCTATACATAGGCGAAGTGTCAAAGTTGATGTGAATCATTGATGCACAAGAAGCATAATTTTAAGGGATAATTATAGCAAAAGTCCCAAACCTTTGAAACACGAGCAGATTTTCCCTAAATCTTTCATTTGTTATACCCATCACCTCTAACATTTACAACCATTGTATGTGAGGCCCTTTTGGATGGTTTCAATCCATTCTTCCATTAGATGATCACCAAAATTAAGTTTAACCATATTTTAATTAATTAAAATGGGGCAAAATGGTAAATATCTATTAAAACAATTAAATAAGAGGATAATTGAATAAAAAAATCAAAAAATAAAAAATAAAGGAAAAGAAAATATCTCTTCTTTACCCACCCTCCATCTCCACGAACCCCACACCCAACCACAAAATCACCCCACCTGTCTCTCATCACCGGCACCAACGAAAATCAGCTTTTCAACCCAAAGCTCCACCTACCGAGACCATCATCACTTGTCCCATACCAAACTAATATAAGGGCCGAACCATCAGATTCCAAAGACTCGTCTAAGAAGAACAAAAAAATGATACAGACGCGGCTGCCACCACTAACTCCGGTGGCACGATTTCAACTACAAATCATGGCCCAAATTTCACTCTCCTCATCTAAGTCCTCACATTCAATCGTCTCCCCTCTCTCCTGCTGTCTTAAATCTCTAGCTAAATTCATTTTTGAGTGAAAATTTGTTGAGAAGTTTGTGCATTATCAAACTTCAAATGCTGGTTAAGGCTTAGTGGGATTATTTGAATTCGTGCGTGGGTCACGAATTGGGAATTCAATTGGTGTGTTTTACATAGTTGTTAGGACCTGAATTGCATTTTCCCAATTGAATTCATGGGTTGAAGCATGCAAGATGAATCAAATTGAAATGGGACAGGCTCGAGAGGAGTCTGTTTGGTGGTTGTCAGCATGGGTGTTAGTCGGAAAGGGGGTTGCAACCAGCATGTGTGTATTCGGCGTTTTCGGTGGAGGTGACGCCGACATCGATGCCAATTATTTAAGATAGTTGTGTGATTTTTATTTTTAGGCTAGGGTGGGGGTAAAGAAGAGGGACTTATATTTTTCTTTTATTTTTCTTTTAATTTTTTAATTTAAGTGTTTTAATTGTTTAATGTGGTAAATAGATAGTTACCATTTTGTCATTTTAAAATTGATTAAAATATAATCAAACTTTATTTTGGTAGTCCACTAACGGAAAAATGGATGGAAACCATCCAGAAGGGCTTCCTTCACATGCAATGATTGGAAATGTTAGGGATGACAGGTACAACAAATGAAAGATTTGGAAAATGTTTGTTAGTGTTTCAAAGATTTGGAACTTCTACTGCAATTATCCCTAATTGTAATTCTAAAGTCTATACTTGAGTTGGTCATGGCTGTAGGATGATGTGTGCGTGTATGTGTGTTTTTTTCTTGGAAACGGAAACCGGCAGATGTCAATAAAAGAAAGAAAATGGACACAGATTTTCAACAATTCATTGGAGTTAGTTGATAATTTTGTTTTCTACCTATCACAAGGCAAACATCAATTATTAAAATGTTCACACACACCATAATTATGATTGATCACGGACCTTAATTCTTCAAAATTCTGGTTGATATTACGCAAGTATGATTAAACGTATTTGATGAGTAATGAAATAATTTGACCTAATATGATTATACTTATAATCTGGTTAATATGCACGGTATTAGATTCATTTTCACTGTTAAATTCAAAAATCTCCTTTACCCAAAACCCAATACGTACATATAATTTTATCAATGGGAACAAAGTGTTAGGGAGGTGGATCACCCACAGCTTACTAATATTATTACTCCACCTCTTTACTACAAATACAACATAATTTTACAAATGAAAAAGGATTATTTATATTTATTTACCTATCTGGGGGGTAGGTATTAATTTTATATTTAAGTTGGCATTTGATTGGCACCGTTTTTTGTTAATAATAATTAAAAATAAATAAAAATTGGACATGGGCCCTTCACGTGTCTACATGTTTGAATGTCTAACTTGCTGCTTTTATTCAGAATTTTCAAAGTCAATTTAGCGCAACTTTGCTCAAGTATACATAATGATAATACACGTAGCAGAATAGCTTGGACCACTTTATGGTACTTTATTCATACCTCATCTTAGCCTAGCACCATTTCACACCTACCATATCTTTTGCTAGGAAGCATCCCACAACCACTAGACCAAGGAAAAACCCCGTTACATGTACATGAAAAATTGTCAGACTCGACACATTTACTGGACCTTGGATGAAAAACACTTTTATCCCAATTAATGAACAGGCGCCACCTGTCTCCCTGACATTCTCTCCTGTATAACTCGACCAAGTAATAAATCGTCAGCATATACATCAAGAAAAAGGAGCACACTTTTGGTGACTATCAGCATTTTACAAAGAATCCTACACTAGAGCTCATGTTAGCCCAGACGCTTTACTCTTACAAATACCCATAAAAGTTATATAATAATAAATTAGAATTAAAAAAAAAAAAACAAGGTAAAGAATTAGTTTCTTTTGTTTTTGTCATAAATTTAATCTGAAACAATGGATATTGGACCGCTAGAGATGCTGCCATGGCTATCATCACATAGAGCCAATGCTCGCTCCAAATTAGCGACAATGTCATTCATGGTAGGTCTATCTTTACCTTCTAAATGCACGCAATGCATAGCAGTGTAAGCCACCAGTTCCACCGCCTCGGATTCGTTTATCTCCAGTGGACCAACACGAGGGTCCAAAATTTTGGCTAATTCTCCGGACATTATTGCCGGCACCGCATAGTCCACCACAGTTATTGGTGCACCACCCCCATTTTCCCCCGTTTTGAATAATGCCCGCTTCCCAGTCAAAAGTTCAAGTAACACTACTCCAAGACCATAAACATCGCTCTTTGCTGTCAATACATTTAATCCGTAATATTCGGGATCGATGTAACCAACTGTCCCAGCCGCCTTCATTGGTCTATAATCACGATCATTTTCCAGCCCTCCCATTAACGATAATCCAAAATCAGAGACTCTTGCTGTCCAGTTTGCATCAAGCAATATGTTTGAGGACTTAATATCACGATGGATTATAGGCGGAACTGCATAATTATGTAGGTACTCAATGCCACGAGCAGCGTCTAGTGAAATCTTGATCCTCATTTTCCAAGAATTCATGACATTGCTAGTCTTGTTGTCGTGTAAATGATCATAAAGAGCCCCATTCTTCATAAACTCATAAACTAAAAGCCTTTCATCTCTCTCTTCACAATAGCCAACCAGCTTTACCAAGTGCTTGTGATGAAGCCGGGATAAGAATGCCAGTTCTGATTCAAACGCACTCTCTTTTTCTTGAAATTTCTTAGTCTTTGGACTCGTCTCACTTCGTTTGATGGCAACTTCGCGACCATCAGCCAGTTTGCCTTTGTATACAACCCCGAAACTCCCAGCACCAATCTTGTTCTCTAAAGAGAAGTTATTAGTGGCTGCAGCTAGGTCTAAAAACAGAAACTCCTCTGCCCTGTCTGCATGTTTAGATGAAGTTCCACTCCTTTGGCGCCTCATGAGAATAGAGCCCTGGCGCCGAAGAGTTGATGATCTCGAAGGTGGACTACTATTAGATTGCGGAGCACCACTAATAGTTGGCTGCACCGAGTTATGAATTTTCTTCTTCCCGAAACAAACACCAGTCCACAAACAATAAATTACAGTACAAATCCCAGCAAAACCCCCAACTGATCCAACAATTGCGAACGCTAATAAACCCCTTCGTAGCCTTTTCGAAGGGGAATGGGAAGGACTAACAACGGGTGGTGATGGTGATGGCAATGATGGTGGTGAAATCGAAACTGTAATATCACAAGGCCAGCAAATATGACCATTTCCAGAACAAAGTGTTTGAGTTTGAGGATATAAATTACATTCACAAGGTGTCTCCACACATGGCCCCGGAAGAGACTTCTGCAAAGGAAGCTCCTGTCCAGAAGGGTAAAACTGATTAGGCCAGCCAGAACCCCAGCAAATCACTGATAAATTGCTTGTTGTCAATCCACAAGTAAAATTCAATCCTGCAACAATAGACTCAAATGAAATCCCATCTGTAACATTGCTAGAAAATTCACCCCAACAAACGACTGTTCGGTTCAATCTTCTGATTGCGCAACTGTGACTCAACCCAAGGGCAAGTCCAATGTACTCGTATGATGAATTTGACGGCACATCCAACTGACCATTGTCATTGTTTCCTTTGCAAATCACCAATCCTGAATTATCCATTCCACAGGCATGTCTTCCACCAACCTGGATATTCAACATTGAAAAATTTGAGAAATCCGATTGTATGGAGACAGAAATATTGTCATCGCCCCAGCATAAAACCCGATTATTACCCTCCAAAACCCCACAAGAAAATCCCAACCCGGACGAAATTGAGCGAAATCCCAAAGTCCCATTTGGGTTTTGAACGGAGGAAATGCCATTTCCTCGCCAGCAAATGACGTTCTGCCTCGAACTGATGTTTGTTAAACCACAAATTTGAGTGTCACCAATTGTTAGAGAAGTTAATGGAGCTGAATAATTGTTGTACATCCTTTTGGAGTTGAAGGTCGTGTTCCAGCAGAGAAGACTGAATCCACCGGAGCGGGTGGCGCAGAGGGTGTCAAGACCGCCGGCGATGTAATCGAAGGACGTTGTGGGGATGATGGGTGACAGAAGCTGACCGTTCTGCCAGCACTGAATTTGTCGGAGGGGTTGCTGGGCAATTATGGTGCAGATAGTAGTGGCAGAACCGTAAACGACGGCCACCGTGGTGGCGGAGCCACCGAGTGCATTGGCTGAGGGTGAAAGAGAAGACACGGCGGTGAGGACAATTATTATGGCGGCGGTAAAGGGTGTCGTCATCTAAAGGGCGTCTGTTGGGAATAGCAGCTGCCCCTCATTTGTCAGAGAGAGAGAGGGAATAGTCCAGAAAGAGTAGGAGGAAGAGGAAACTGAGGAATATAGATATACGACTATCCAAAGAAGTGCTTATCGATTAAAAAAAAAAACCGATTTTTAAAGCTAAGCTCCAATTTGAAAAATATTTTTGGAAAACTGATTTCATTTATTATTAATAAAATACCAATTATATCCAATTTTCTCACCCAATATAAAATATAGCTTAATTTTTAAATGGTTAATATGAAAATTTATTAATTTTTTTATTAATTATTATTTTCCATTTGTCAATGCCCAATAATATTTTTAGAAATAAAAATGACGTCATATTTAATGTTAACAACATTGTTTTTGTTGACAACCAAAATGGTTCGATCTCACGTTAAATGTGGCCAGTATTTTCGAATCATGTTACTCATCTCGACTCTTACATTTTATTTATTGTATGTTTTTATGTTTGAATTATATTTTAAAATAAATAAAAACTATATGGGGAAATCGGGCAAGAAATTTAATATGTAAATCATGATCCCGATAGGTCCCATAAATATCAACCTTCTCCATCTCGCTCTTTTACCATCCTTAATCAATATTTTGAAAATTAAAAGTGAACGGACCAATTTGATTAAAGAATTTAAAAATAAAAAAAAAAATGAATCAGACAATGTTTAAAACCTTTCACACACCCACACTAATAATGTTGTGTAGTCCCTTTCTTGGAATGAAACGCATTTCATTACAGTCATAGAGAAATAACCCACTTTGATAATTTTTTTATATATACTTCCAATTAAATCTTTTGAAAATATTAAATTCTTCAATTAATATTAATGTATGTTATTTCCAGTATAAAATAACGTAAAGGTGGTATAGAGAATAAATATAAGTTTCATCAATTTGGCCATTTGATCATAGTCAAATAGGCAATATTCTCATTAAAAAATGTTGATGCAAACATATTTATTGTTGGTAATTCATTTGTAGAATTTGATTAAAGTGGGGCGTCCGGTTGTCAATTTCCTTTATTAAATAGGGGATTAATTAAAAGTTGATTTGAATATTCAAGTACAAATTCAAATCAACAATAGGACTAGTATTAAGAGAGAAGATGAAGGACCAGATTACCAAAATATTCAAAAAGGCACAAATTGGTGGCTGCTAAAAGAGAAGCATAGAAACCTTGTACGAAACAAGATTCTTCCATCATCGGCAGCGGAATTCAATCCCCCATGACATCCCAGCCCTCAAACTTCATCATCAACACCAAAATTGAACCGAAAATGACAAAAGAAAAAGATTCACATTCAAATTCAAATTCAAATTCGTGTGGCACGCATCTCAATGCTATCGAAACTCCCCCTTTGATCAATACTAGAGATGGGACCACCACCAACGACATAGAAGACCCAAAAACCCATGGGGTGGAGTCATTGATATCCAATTTAGTCGCAATAGCCACATTTAAAAGCTTGCGATCGCACAATCAGTGTGAAATTACTTCCAACCTTTACCCCCATCAGTGACATGTGCTTGAGCGCCAAGTTACCCATCAATTTCCGACCAAGTCCCCTAAAATTTCATAACATTCTAACACTAGACGCACTTGGGACCCATAGACTGAAAAACTAGCAGAAACATAAATCGAGGCATATCACCCTCCACATACCTAGAGGTGTCAAGACGGA